CATTTATAGTTTAAAGGACGGTGTATCAGCTTCTCTTTCATGGATAAGTGTTTTTTATGTTCTCTGTAAGAAATCCTTACCCCAGTCACTTTTAAAAAATACAGTTTTGGGGTTCAGTGAATTAGTTTTTTGAGCATGGGATGCAAGGATCTGTATATTTTAAAGCTCCCTTAAGTGCACATGGCTTTTAAACACATTAAGTTTTCTAACCTTATTTGCAATGAGTGAAATGCGAGGTATAACCACACCGTAATGCCATTTTTCTCATCTATCACATTAATGTAAATCAAAAAGTTGTATAACACACAGTGTTCGCCTAAGATGGGAGGCACTCTCATGCATTGTCGGCATCTGTGTAAATAAGAACAGCGTTTATAAAGAGCAGTTTAGCAATATCCATTGGAATCGAATGAATGCACATGCCCTTTGGTCTGCCTGGTGATTCTGCTTCTAGGAACATACCTTACTGGTACTCAGAAATGTGTACAAAGAAATAGGTTACGTGGATATTTGGTGCAGTGTTATTTGTAATAGGAAAAGACGGGAAATGACCTAAATATCCATCAAGAGCCATGCAATGGAATACTAACCAGTCAGTAAAAAGGAGATAGTTCTATACGTACAAAAGTAAGTGGAGTGACTTACAAGCTATATAGTTAAATGTAAAAAGGACGTTGTAGAACAATGTGTTTAATTTCTTACCGAGTGTTTGAAAACGGATAGTTTATAAGCATATGTATGTATAGGTGTGTGCCCATACCTATACATGCTAGTGTATTCAAATATATTTATTGAAGGAAACAAGAAATTCAGCTACAAAAATAAAAATTAAAACTCCTCTTCAAATATTAAAAAAAAAATTCAGCCACAGTGGCAGGCACTGTGGGTGTTGAATCCGATATATACCTTTTCTGTGTATTGGCCTTTATAGACCGTGGGCATGTGTTACTTTTATATTTTTAGAGGCCCCTCCCCCCTTCCCCGATCCCGGCGATTTGGATGATCATCATATGTCTCATGTAAGGAGACTGGGCCCAGGGAGTTTGGGTCCAAGCACGGATTGCTCAGAACTGCTTCCTGAGAGTCAGTCATGCCCCCACCCTCACTTCCCTCTCTTCCCACACAGCTTGGCCTCTGGCTCACAGAACCAGTCTGTCCTGCACCATTTCTGTCTTCTGCCCAGGACCCTACAGCAAGCCACGAGCCAGACGCCCCCTCTGAGGGTCTGGGTGGGAGGGAGAAGCAGCCCCACGTGCTGGCCACCCGTCCCTCCCGCTCTCCCCAAGGGTGATCTATGGCTTGTCAGAGGTGTGGGTTCTCGCCACTTGCTGAATAGAAAGCTTCTTTGTTCTTGGGAGTGAAAATAACCCTAAGATAAATGTTGGGGCTGGAAGAGCCCAGGGAATGTTAGGCTCCAGCTGCCCTAAGGCTCCTCCCTGGAGCAGAAGGTCTGAGGTTAGGGGAGACAGGAGTTGGTTCCGGAGGGAGTATCATGGCCAGGGTCCTCTGGGGATTGTGAGCAGTGGTGAAAGGTGGCCATGGGCTCTTCTCAGATTCAACCCAGCTCCCAATACCTGCCTGAAAATTACTGCCATCGTGGGTAACCTCCTAACAACCCACAAAAACATCCTACCCCTTGTCACTTGTTGATTATGACATGACCAATCTCCCCATAACTCTCTTATTCCTCCTCACCCGAAGGCTGTCCCCTGTGCCTGTACAAAAACTCCCCTTTATCTTCATAAACCTGTTTGTTTTCCCATCCCCTTGCCTTTCTACTTGCCCCTCCACAGAACTGGATGTTCTCTGGAGCCTGCATTTCGTTTCTCTGGCTGTTGCTGAGAAAAGGAGGGACCCAGCTCTGCACCTGGCCACTGCAAACCCCATAAAGTTCATGGTATGACTCTTCCATGGACCATAACCTCCTCCCATCCCTAATCCGGCCCAGGCAGGACTGAGTTGGAGGATGCTGGATCTGCCAGGAGAGGAGAAAGGGGAGGGGAGGATTGTTTCAGGCTGTTAATAGTCTCGAAAGAAAGCCTGAAGACAAGATTGGAGTCTGTTTATTTTTCAGTCCCATTCCTAAGGTTCTAGAGAAAATATTTTTAACTTGGAACCTTGAGAGGTGGCCTAAGACCTTTCAAGCACCCCAGAGGGACAGAAACCCATGAGGGACAAGGGTGAGAATAGCATCAGGGTCCTCCAGGAAAGTCAAGGGCTGTGGTCCCCCTACCGAAACCCCAGTCCTGGCTCAGAAAAGTGGAATCTGGGCCGGGGTGGGGGCGGCGTGAGGGGGCTCCGAAGTTGCAGCCACAGAAAGGACTTTAGAGAACAACCTACAGCCCAGTTCCTCCCTTTTGATAAGCCTGGTTTGTCTGGCTGAGGCCTGAGGGGAAGGAGTGGGAGGGGCCAAGCAGTGGGAGGGGCCAGGAGGAGAAAGAGGATGAAACCCAGGAAGCCAATAGGACACCATCAGTCCAACTCTATCTTCTGGGTGAGAAAATAGAGGCAGAGAGAAGCTTGGGACCACGTCTCCAAGACAGCGACGAAGCAGCCTCTCTCCTGGTGCCTATGCTTTTGTTTGTTCTTGCTGGCACCTTGCTGGGGTCTGATGGAGTGGGTGGCTTTGGGACTGTCTGGACCTTAAGGACAAGCAGCACAAGATGATAAGAGGAACCCTCCCCACAGTGGGGGCTGGCACCCCCGCTCTGGCCCAGTGTCCTACAAGGCCTCCTACACCAGTGCCTCCTGAAGGCAGAAAGTGCCTCCTTGGATCTCTTCTCCCCACCACCCCCAACACTTTATCAGCTTTGTCTCTCTCTGGCTCTGCTTGTCTGAATTAGATAAGTTTTGGATGAATCGTAGTTTGGGGTTTGTGGAAAAGAATGGAAGAGGAAAACAGATGGGGATGAGAATGCCCGTGTATCTAATCGTATAGGTCAGACTCTGGGGTAGGAGCCTATGTTCCTAGTTAGGGCTCATAACAGCTCTTTGGCGTAGATCTTCTTGCTTCGCTTTCACCCAGTCTTCCTGAAGTTCAGTGACTTGCCCAAGGCCACAGGGATCGTAGCAGTGGGTGGGAGACCGTGAGGCCAGCTAGCTGTGTCTGGCTGTGGATGGATGACGCATTGCCATCAGGACAATGCTGCCCTAATGTGTGCTGAATGCTTCCTGGCTCTGTGCATGAAGGCTGGGATTCAATGAGAACTTCGGGCCTGAGGTCACTTCTGGGAAGGGTGTTAGAGGAGCACCCAGTTCTGGGGATGCAGCCTTAACAAGTCAATCAAAGCGTTCCTAGAAGCATCAGCCAAATTCCCCAGAGACTCTTGAGGGGTGGGCTGCCCCACCCTTGACCTCTGCAGCCTCCTCCCACATGCAATGACCCAGGCCAAGATTTCCCAGCTACTGCTGATGCCCTGGTCTGGCGAAGAGCTGGCTTTATGCTTAGTTGTTTAATAATCTGTGAAGAAATCAATACATTCCCACCTCTTCCCCTGGATTCAACCAGCATGGATTATAATCACAACTGTGCTATTTGCCCATGCTGAGCAGAGGCGTGGAGGTAGGCTGGGAGCTTCAAGTTAAACTTTTCTAGACTAATAAACTGTTTCTCCCATTACAACTTGACTGCCCTCGCCTTTCCTGGCCAGCCCCTCCAGGACTCCCCCTCATCCCCCCAGCTTTCTTTCTTTCACTGACGCTGACATCACACTCACATTTTCCAAAAATTCCCCAAATTACCCATAGTCTTCTTAGCTCCCGCTGTCGTCTGGAATTACACATCCCAGACTGCACCCTGTCAATCCCTCCACCCTCACCCCAGAGCATCAGGACTCGCCAGCACTGGGGAGTCCTGGGTCCCCTGGCTCAGCCCGGCCTGGCAGTGAAGCAGAATGGGGTCTGACCCAGTGAGGAGCTTTTCCCCTCACCAGGTCCAGTGGGATAAACAGACTACTGGGAGAAGCTGTGTGTGTGTGTGTGTGTGTGTGTGTGTGTGTGTGTATGAGGGAGCTGGCTGGCTGGCTCTGAAAGGCCTTGTTATACAGGAATGGCCTGGGCCTTTCTGAAGCCCCGCTAGATGGGGTTGGAAGGCACACTGTTCAGTGGGAAAAACCTGGGGTTTGGAGTCAGAAGACCCAGCTTCCAGTTCTGATTCTGCTACTCAAGGGTTCTGTGCTCTTGCACTGGCCATGTAGCTTCCTGCCTCGGTGCTCTCCTTTATAAACTGGGGCTCTGTGTATTTTCCAAAAGGGCCATAGCAGTATTTCTAGTGCCACATGCTCTTCCACAACCTTACCACTTTCCATTAAGAGACAGGGTCTGTGTCCTTTTGCCTTGAACCTAGGCAGGTCTCTGGGGCCGCCGCAACAAATAGGATGTCTCAGAAATGACATTGTGTGGCTTCCTAGGCTGGGTCATAAGAGGCATGTGGCTTCCACTGGCTGGCTGTTTCTCTCTCTGTCCGTTTCTCTGTCTCTGTCTGTTTCTTGCACTGGAGCTTGGCTGCCATGCCGTGAGGAAGCGCAGGCCACATGGAGAGGGCACTCGTCTGTCGATTCCGGCTGAGAGTCCTAGCCAAGGTCTCAGCCAACAGCACAGGCGGACGTGGGAGCGAGAGTGATTCCGACCCTCAGCCTTCAAGCTGCCCCACCCAGGTGGTAGTGAATGAAGTAGCAAGGAAGGGCTTCTCTGCTGAGCCCTGCCCACCTTGCAAATTTGCGAACAAAAGTAACGCTATCGTTTTAAGTCACTCACCGAGTTTGGGGGTGGTTTGTCATACGGCACTGGATGTCTGCATGCAGGATCATAATGTAATGTGAGGCTTAGATGAAGAGATGCACTTGGCAGTGCCTTATGGAGCCCTGTATAAGTGTAGCACACTGTGTGCATCACTGCTGTTCAAGCACTGCCCTGTCTTGGATGTCAGTGTCTATAATGTGGCAAGAGCTGGGTTAGATGCTTCCGCATATCCCTTCCTGTAGTCCTTACAGCCACCTCACCTCTCCAGACTAGCTCCAGCAGGTCTGAATTGGTCATTGTAACGGCTAAATTAGGCTGGCGTTATTATTTTCACCAATTTGCAAACGGGCAAACAGAGACACAGCTAGTTTAAGTTCAGGAGGAACTGGAATTTGAATCCAGGTCTGGTTAACTGCCAGGTTGGTACTCCTCTTTCCCTAGGAGCTAGAGGTGGGCAGTCCCCTCAAGAAAATGGGGACACTAGGATATCTCAGCAGATCCTGACCTGGGAAAATCCTTCTGTTGGATTTATTTAAATTTTTTTTAATCTTAAAATTAAAAAAAAGTTTTTTAAATGTTTTGTTTGTTTTTGAGAGACAGAGAGAGACAGAGCATGAGCGAGGGAGGGGCAGAGAGAGAGGGAGGCACTGAATCTGAAGCAGGCTCCAGGCTCTGAGCTGTCAGCACAGAGCCTGACACGGGGCTTGAACCCACAAATCGCGAGATCATGACCTGAGCCGAACTCGGAAGCTTAACGACTGAGCTACCCAGGGGCCCCATAATCTTAAAAATTTTTTAAAGTAATCTCTGCACCCAATGTGGGGCTTGAACTCATGACCCTGAGATCAAGAGTCACAGGCTCCACTGACTGAGCCAGCCAGGCGCCCCACTGCTGGCTTCATTTAATTTTACTTGCATTTCAACAAGCAGAGACTGAGCGCCTAAAATGGGACTGTGTGTTAGGTAAGACCTGGATGCACAAGACACAGAACCCCTTATTGGGGAGCTCATAGTCTCTGGGGGAAACAGATACCTTGGGCAGGCTGCTCGCCACCTCTAAGCCTCAGTTATGCCATCTGTGAAATGGGGATAATTAGAGAACCCATCTCAGAGGGTTATTGTGAAAAGTATACAGTATATAATTCTACTTAAAGCATCTTGTATGTAGAAAGTGCTCAACAAATATTAACTTTTATTAAGAAAATTTTGCAATATAATGAGATATATGACAAAATATGGGGGTGGGGACATAAAGCCTTATGGCAGGAGAGAGGAGTAAGTAAGTTCATCCTGGGGTTGGGGGTGGGAGGTGGTAGCAGAGAGGAGGTGACTTTTGGTCTGGGACTTCAAAGGCAAGTAGGAGGAGCAGATGGTCTATGGAAGGACAGTGTTTAGTGTCAGGGAGACAGAGCGGCCCCAGGTGGCTGGAGGACGGGGTCCTGACGGTGAAGGAGTGAAGGCAGGCTGGGAAGGAGTTTTCTATATTTGGTTGTAGCGTATTGTTGGCCAAGCAGGCCCCCAGACTTAGGCAAGAGTCTCCCCGCCCAGGCTTAAAAGGTGAGGCTTTAACGTGCAAATGCCCAGGAGGAGGACCCCGGGCTCCAAGGCACAAAATCTTCGTATGAGAGTTGTGGTTTTGAAGGAGAAAAGAGTTGGGGGAGCACCCAGCCCTGAGGCAGAGGGCTTAGAAGAGGAGGTTGGTGTTTTCAAGAGATACTTTCCCCACTCTGAAAAATCTCAGGGCGGACCCCGCTGAATCTCCACTAAGCCAGATCAAGAGAATCTGCTTTTGCCAACAAACCACCAAGCCCCCTTGCCCAGAAATGTCCCAGAAATGTCATCGCAGATTACTGAACGGCTGCTTGGGGAATTTTGCCCCAGGTGGCCCAAGGCCTGAGGGTCAACAAAGGGCTTCTGAGCTGGTGCATCTGGCCCCAGGGAGAAGTCTCCATTGGAGCCTTGGGCAGGCTCTGGGCTCTGTGTGCCGAGAACAGCTGCTTTGGTTTAAATATTAATAATGCAAAATGAAATGTGTGGGGTGCCCAGCGCACCAGAGCCCAGCCAGTGTGCATTGCATCTAATGTCCTCTGCACTTGGGTTTGGAAAAATGTGGTCAGTGAATTTAATATACTTTTTGGCAAAGGGAAGACGACAGTTAACTTCTCTCCAGAGCCTCGCTAAAGTGGGTTTTCTCCCTGGAAAGTGGAGGAGGGAGAGTGGTTTCTCCCAGTATGCCAGCAGGCCTGCTGCCCGAATTCTGTCATAGCCCCTCTGCTCTGCCCACCTTGACACTCACAGGGGGCCCCGGGGGCCACAGAGCATCGCACTGAGGGGAATAGAAACACAGCCAGACTCGTTCAAGATCTGCTGGTGGCCTGGGTGGGGCCTAGTCCCCAGCTCCTGCTGGCTCGGTCTCCTCCCTCCAGGATGTTCTCTCCCCATTTCGTGCCCCCTTCTGGAATGATCCACCCTGATGTTCGTCAGAGGAGCTCACCATGGGCACGTTGGCCACGGGGTTCTCACAGGGCCCCTGAGGTTGACAACTCATCCAAGGGGTCCGAGGGCTGGACGTGGGCCCCTGAGAGCTATGCTTCTCTCAATCCCACTGCGGTTTTGAATCTGGGGGAGGTTCTGACCAGAGCGTTATGAAGATTTCCCCCTCCCCCTCCCCTGCCTCCAATATCCCGGGCCCTGGCTTCTTTCTTGCCAAGTGCCACAGCTCTCAATTGGCTTCTTGAAAAGTTAATAAATGCTTGGTGACATCACAGCCCCAGAGCCAGGGAGCAAGAAAACGTCAGAGGCTGTTTCTGAGGAGAAGTCAGGGGCTCTGGGTTTGCCCAACAAAGGCGCCCTGTGCAAGCGTGGTCACGGTAACGGCCACTGCCACCACAGAACTGGAACAAAGCTGGCCAGGCTTCCCCCAGAAAGTCCGTCTCTGGTTTTACACAACCCGATAGTGTTCCCAGTTAGAGGCTTGAACATGTCATCCAGCAGGGAGAGTCGGGCAGTCCTTGCCAGTGGCCTGGTTGTGGCCCGCTCTGGGGGGCCTCCTATGCTGTTGGGGGCAACAGTCACCCCAGGGCCCCTCAGGGGGGTGCGGGGAGGAGGCTCCGGGCAGGAGTGAAATGGCCTTGCCTGGGAGAGGGTGGGAGCTGCACGTCACCAGGGCTCTGGGGCTCCAGCTGTGCCCCAGGCTCCAGCTCTACCCGCCTCCCCCACCCCACCCCAGTCCACCCTCCTTGGCCTCCGGCCCTTAGGGAAGCTGAGAGAAAGTCTCGCCTGTTCTGGATGCCGCAGGCAGGATCGGCCACAGTGATCTCCTTCATGTGTCCCCGCTGGCTGTAAGCGCTGTGTTTGGTTTGGCAAAACGGCTATTTAAATAGCAGTGAAATGTGTCACTGGAAAAAAATTAGCTCATGTTTCCTTTGCCATTTCTTCATGATTTCCATTAAAAGCGTAACCACGGGTAATAAATTAACAAGATCTGTAAAGGCGACCATAGGAAACCATGGATCCAGAATTCCTATAAACTTCTAACCCATGATGCTAAAAAGCGAGGCTACTTGGGGAAAGGGGAGCCGGATCACCCATGTACTCCGGTTTTCTTTGTGTCTGATTCTTACCTCCCTCCCCTCAAAATGGGAAAGGAAGCCCTCTGCGTCTTTCAGGGGTTGCTGTAGTTATCAGGGGTGAGAGTCTTTGCCTGGAAAACCCGGAGGCTTGGGGCATTGCTTGGCGCTTCCTGTTTCATTAAAAACAAAAACAAAGGGGCGCCTGGGTGGCGCAGTCGGTTAAGCGTCCGACTTCAGCCAGGTCACGATCTCACGGTCCATGAGTTCGAGCCCCGCGTCGGGCTCTGGGCTGATGGCTCAGAGCCTGGAGCCTGTTTCCGATTCTGTGTCTCCCTCTCTCTCTGCCCCTCGCCCGTTCAAGCTCTGTCTCTCTCTGTCCCAAAAATAAATAAAAAAAACATTGAAAAGAAAACAAAAACAAACCCCAAGAAAAACAAAACTAAAACGTTACTTCTTTATCAAAGCACAATCTCCTTCCCCCAAACTAGGCCTCACTCGGTCCTGACCACGGTCCGGTGGTTGAATTCTCAACCCCTGCCGGGAACTGGACCCTTTCCCATGGGTCCCGAATAGCTTGAGGTCCAGCTGTGGCTCAGTTTCACAGATAGGAACAGTGAGGCCAAAGGAAGATATTTGTTTTGGGCGCAAAATGCAATAATCAGTGGATGGATGGGGGAGGCTTCTTTCTGATGGCTGCCACCTCTGACACACGCCCACTCACACATTCGTACACGCGCTCGCGCTCCGCACAATGCTTGCTTGTGCCGGGCTGGGGGTGGGGCAAAGGATCCCTGTAGGGTCCTGAAGGTGTCTCTGGAGACAGGGAGGTAAAAAAGCTCCTCCCAAGGCAGGTGGTTCTGGGGAACGTGTTTGGTTGGACACCCCAGGGCTATGGGGGGTGCCAAGGGAGGGCACCGGCTACGGTTCACCTGAGGGATGAGAGTGTGTTTAGTGCTACCCGCAGAGTCTGGGGAAGTGGGGGGCAGGACCGGGGAGCGTGTTCAGTGTCACACACAAGCCCAGGGGAATGGAAGACAGGACTGGGGGAGGGCGTTATGTGACACACAGAGTCAGGGTACAGAGGATGGAAGGAGGAAAGGCAAGTAGTAACCAGCGAATCTCCTTTTGTCTCTGGTCCTCTGAAGCCCTGTCCTTCCTCGATGATCCTTTCACGAGTATCCCAAACCTCCTTACTTAAAAAAAATTTTTTTTTAATAGTGATTTATTTTTTAAGAGAGGAAAGAGACAGAGTGCCAGCAGGGGAGGGGCAGAGAGAGAAGGAGACAGAATCCAAAGCAGGCTCCGGGCTCTGAGCTGTCAGCCCAGAACTCGACGTGGGGCTCGAACCCACGAACCGTGAGATCATGACCTGAGCTGAAGTCAGGAAGCTTCACCGACTGAGCCACCCAGGCGCCCCTCTCAGCCCCCCTTATTAGTCTAATGTGGCTGTCCCTTGGTCTTCTGTTACATAGAAGATGGGGTGAGAAGGGGGAGTTTTGTGCCATTTCTAAGCCCCAGGGTACCCTCTGTCCCTAGAGTCCAACACCCCTTGCACATTAGCCCCTGGGGGTAAGAAGGAAGCCATTTCTTGTTTCTTCAGGACAGTCCCTTTTCCTGGAAGGCAGTGGTATGGAATGTGGAGGTTCAGAAAACCCTTTGTCACGATGAAATGAAAGAGGGATGTGGCACCAGCTCTTTTCCCCACTGATCTGCCTTCAGACCCCT